AAAAAAACTAGCAAGACCACAAACACATGAAGGTTAAACAACGTGCTACTAAACAATGAATGTGTCAACCAGGAAATCAAAGAAGAAATTAAAAAATATATGGAAACAAATGAAAGTGAAAACACAATGATCCAAAACCCCAGCAATGTAGCAAAAGCAGTCTTAAGAGGGAAGCATGTAGCAACACAAACGTACCTCAAGAAAAAAAAATCTTAAATAAACAATCTAACTTTACACCTAAAAGAGTTAAAAACAAAACAAAACAAAACAAGAAATGAGGCCAAAAGCCAACAGAATGAAGGAAATAATAAAGATCTGAGCAGAAATAAATGATATATAAATGAAAAAAAAAACAGATTAGGAAAAACAGGAGTTACTAATTTGAAAAATTAAAAAAAAAATTGGTAAGCCTCTAGCAAGACCTATCAAAAAGAAAAGAAAATGGACCCAAATAAATAAAAACACAAATGAGAGAGGAAAAATAACAACCAATATCACAAAATACAATTAATTATAAGAGATTATTATGAAAAACTATACACCAACAAATTAGATAAACTGAAAGAAATGGATAAATTCCTAGACACATATAAACTACCAAAACTGAAACAGGAAGAAATAGAAAACTTGAACAGAACAATAATCAGCAGAGAAATTGAGTCAGTAATCAAAAACTTCCAACAAATAAAAGATAAGGACCACTATGATCTTTTATATGTCTATTACTCAGAAAAAATTAAAAATTCATTACAGTAACACAATTCTTTCTTTCCCTTTTACTTAATTGCGAACAACTCACATCTGAAAAAATTAAAAATTTAAATAGAACTGATGTTAAATCCTGTCCCATTTGACTGGTATATCTCAATAAAGCAAATGTGAAAATTTTTATGTCCATTCACATACTGCATATAACACTAATTGTAAAGATTATTAAATTGGAAAGAAATGTGTTTAACATGTTACGTCTTTTTAGACAAGTTTAAAATGTACTTAAATTTAAATATGAATTTTTGTTACAGAAGAACTATCATAGGGTTGTTGATAAATATTTTGAACATGAAACATTGCATTCAGATAAAACTCTGTGAGAACTGGAATAGAAAATATGAATTCAAGGCAAAGATGATTGATGTAAAACTTCCAGATGTTAAAAAAGAGCTCGCTTATGTACATATATTTCTAGAAATAATGGTACTGACATCAAATTGTGATGTTATTTAGATTCAATTGAATACACTTAGAAGACTGATTTAAAAGTATTTTTACTTTTAAAAAGTAAGGCGCCTGGGTGGCTCAGTCAGTTGAGCGGCTGACTCTTGATTTCAGCTCAGGTCATGATCTCAGGGTCCTGTGATTGAGCCCCGTACTCAGCAGGAAGTCTGCTTGAGATTCTCTCTCACTCTCCTCTCCCCCCATGAGCATTCATGCACATGCACATTTTGAACAATATTTACAATAACATCTTTTACAACTAAACAATCTCATAACTGCAATTTTTAGATAACTTTGTGTACAAACAGATACATAATTAAAAAAAATTTTTTTATAAGTGTGAAAGCAGAAAGGTGAAAAGATCACTGTACTTTACTATCTGTACAATTGGCCAAGATATAGAATGTGAGGTGATAATCATTCAATTCAGGTTAATAATAAATGTGAAATTCTTCATTTAGGTTTTAAATGTGATCTTTGTATTTTTAGTTAAGACTGTATCAGTCAGAGTTCTCCAGAGAAACAGTACCAACAGGATATGTATATATACATATGTGTATATATATTGCTTTGTTTTATACAAAATTATTTATATAAATAACTATATGTACATATTACATATGGCTAATAGTATTAGGGAAGCTGACAAGTCCCCAGGTCTGCAGGATGAGTCAGCAAGCTAAAGACCCAGGAAAGCTGATGGTGTAGTTCTCATCCAAATGTTGACAGGCTTAAGAATCATGAAGAACTGATTTTTTAGTCTGAATCAAAGGCAGGAAAAAGCTGATGTTCAGATTTGAAGGCAGTCAGTCAGAAGGAATTCGTTCTTAGCTGAGGGAGGGTTAGTCTTTTAGTTCTATTTGTACCTTCTACTGATTTGATGAGGCCCACTCACATTAGGGATGGCAATCTGCTTTACTTCATTTACCAATTTAAATTAAGTATTTTTAAAAAATTTTGTTTATTTATTTAAGAGAGAGAGCATGAGCAGGGGAAAGGGGCACAGGGAGAGGAAGCAGCAGACTCCCTGCTGAGCAGGGAGCCTGATGTGGGGCTTAATCCCAGGACCCTGGGATCATGACCTGAGCCAAAAGCAGATGCTTAATCGCTAAACTACTCAGGCGCCCCTACCAATTTAAATATCAATCTCATCCAGAAACACCCTCATAAGAGTACTTAGGATAATATTTGATCAAATATCTGGGAATCTTGTGGCCCAGTCAAGTGGACACATAAAATTAACCATCACAAGTCCACCCCTTGTCAACTTGGCACCAAACATATTTCCTTAATCTATACTTAAGCTCCAGATGAAGACAATATGTCATAATGCCACATTCCTAGATGAGTCTCCCAATGATGTCTTAACCTGGGTTCCTTTTTACCGCACTACAGCCTAGAAACTTTGCATGTATAATGCCAGGGAAGTTACAGAACTCCCTTTGTATATTCTGGGTCTCTCTGGCACCACTGTCCTTTATTATTTGATGTCTAATGTCTTGAAAACTGTTGTTTAATATATTTTGCCCTGTTTTTTAGTTGGTTCAGGGATAAAGAGAAATCTGATCCTCATTAACATATCTTGGTCAAAATTGCAACTTTTTAAAAGTCTACTTTTTTTACTCTAATTTTATAGATTTTTTACAGTATCATAAAATTGTTCTATGAATAAATGTTTGCAGAACCTAACTACTTACATAAATAACTAGATGTTTTAAGAAATCCTAATTTATAACTTCACTCCTTCACATAATTCAACGGAGAACAAGTAAAGTACCTTGAGATTTTTAATATTAACTTGTACAAACTCAAGGTACCTAGGAAAGGTGTTAGGGATTAGTTTTCAAATAAAAAGTGTAATTCTCTAAAGCAAAATGTGTTGGTATATTGATTAGATTTTAACATCAGTTGCCTAGGTTGCAGGAGACAAGAAGGAAGAATAAAACACTTTATTTTGAAAAGAATATATAGCCGATTCTTTAACCACACAAGTTTGAACTACACAGATCTACTGATATGTGAATATTTTATGATAAACATAGTACTGTAAATGTATTTTCTCTTACGATTTTCTCAATAACATTGTCCTTTCTCTAATTCACTTTATTGTAGGAATACAGTATATAATACATATAACATACAAAATATGTATTAATAGACTGTTTATGTTGTTAGCAAGGCTTTCGGTCAATATTAGGTGGAAATACTATTTTGGGGGAATCAAAAGTTATATGTGGATTTTTAACTGTGCAGGGGATCAGTGTCTCTAACCCCCATGTTGTTCAAAGGTCAAGGGTTATCCTGCTTCTGTCCTGGCAAAAATTGCCTACAAGGCTATAAAGATGTTTGATATAAAATTTTAGTCTCCATACTATGGTGGAATGTGTTGTGAAGAGCTTGTACAGCTTCTTTAGGATGATAACCTTGGCCTTTTTTGTTCATACAAAGCACAGTACTGTCCAGAAATTGATCAGATTAATTAAGACCAGGGAAAAGAAACAAAAGAAGAAATGAAAACATCAAGAAAATATTACAAAAGCCAAACACCAAAAATAAGAACAAAGGAAAACAGGCTCTGCAACCAGAAGAAAATCATTTGGAAAATTATACAAAGATTTCTCCTTTGGATTTTATGACTGTATTACTTAATAAGAAAAATTACAAAATAAGCAAAAAACCCATATGAAAGAATCGTGTTAGTTTTACCTAAGCATTTATAACTTTTTTATAGTGGGTATAGGAATTTGTTGGTGCCTGCTGAAAGCTATGGTATATTAATACTTACTATGCTACAAATTCTTCATAAATGAATTAGTTGTTTGTTATTTTGCAGACCATGAACTGAAATGAAAACATCCTATGGGAGAAAATAACTTTAGATTCTATCTTCTATTCCAATAACGGCTTAAGTTGTGTTCCTGTTCTGGACAAAGAAATTAAGAATTTTAAAACTGAGAATTGTCCTCTCTGAGGTGTAATGTGTGTTTTGGCTTTAAAAAGATAAGAGTATTTCAGTCACATATTTTATTATTATTGCTTGTTACTTGGAAAAGAGTAATTTCTGGTAGTCTCAAAGCAAAATGAGATTAATAAATGAGTACTTCTAATTTCTGTATCTTTTTTCTAATTTATGTCTTTAAGATACTGGTAATATCAGATAATATGCTGTTGTTTTCCTTTACTTTACTTTTTAGAGAGTTATCTTCTTATGACTATAGTAATAACTTTATTTATTGTCAGTTTTTAGTAGCTTATTAATATTGTTCCTAATGCCAGTATCAACTTAAAGTTAATTGTCCAAGAACACTAATTTAAAAAGTGAAACTACGGGCGCCTGGGTGGCTCAGTGGGTTAAGCCTCTGCCTTCGGCTCAGGTCATGATCTCAGGGTCCTGGGATTGAGGCCCGCATCGGGCTCTCTGCTCAGCGGGGAGCCTGCTTTCTCCTCTCTCTCTCTATGCCTGCCTCTCTGCATACTTGTGATCTCTCTCTCTGTTTCAAATAAATAAAATCTTTAAAAAAAAAAAATAAATAAAAAATAAAAAGTGAAACTACATCTTTTAATAAATTTGATACTTTTCTTTAAGAGAAAAAAAATACATGTATGGTCACATTAATGAATTTAAATATGGTTTTTAGATAAACAAATACCTTGTTTACCTAAAATTTTCATAAAATTTTATGTATATATTTTGTTTACATATATCTTGTTTATATATACATATAAGCAATATTTTTTCATGAAATGTTCAAAATGCAGTATTTTCGCATTTGTATATTCTATACCTGTAAAATATCAGCAGGGTCTTCTTTTGCAGATGCAACCAACAAAGTATGCCCATTGATGATTCCTTCTGCCAGGAAATACTTGAAGAGCAAAGAAGAGTAAGTATTATATTTATCCTCTTCTGTAAAAAAGAAAAAAATTGTAGTCAGTATCCTACCATATGCCAGGCACACTCAGATGTTTTAATAATTTTCCTCCTTAAAACAAGTATGTAAAATGGGGTAATAATTGTCCTCCTAAAAAGTACAGATAGATAGGCTAAGAGACCTATCTGGATAGTCCCTGGGAAGTGAGTACTTTTAATATAGTTTGATTTCAAAATTATTCTCCATCCTCTACTCCATCTCTGATATCCACAAAATTTAGAGGGTTACATGTGATTATAGAAAAAAAAAAAAAAAGAATTTCTTTTTCTGTTTCCTAAGATTTTTTTCAGGCATTGCATCTCTAAAATACCTATTCTTACCTACCAACCAGTTTGTAAACTCACACTTCATTTCTTACATGTCATAATAATTAAGCACTTAAGTATATGCAGCCTGAAGATTAGTATTTATAAAATTTATAAAAATAGTATTACTTTTACATTTGTGTTTTAGGTTTTAAATTCAATAGCAATTTAAAATTGAAGACTAATCTGAGAGTTCTTAAATCTGTACTACCTGTTTTCCAAATAAACAGTTCTTTGACCTTTTATTATTCCTTCATCCTCCCTTCTTTCTGAATTTTTATGAAAAAAATCATATACCAGGTTTCTTTGACAAAAATGTGTTAATATTTTTGAGATTTTGTGATATAATATAAACTCAAGTATATCTTTGTTTTCTAATATTATTGATAAGCTACATACCTACACTTTTATATCACCTTTCTTTCCTTTAATACTTTGAGACATAAAGAGACAATGGTAGATTTACTGAATTATTTAAAAAAGAGAAGCCTTTATTAATTTATTCAACAAATATTAATTGAATTCCTATGTCAGGCATTGTTAATATCTGTAAAAACCACACTGTTAAAAAATATTCCTAAGAAAGTTTGGACTTGTGGTAATGTTAGCACTGTGCACAAAGCCTCTGGCAGCTTTAAATATAAAACCTGAATAAAATACCATTAAAAAATAAATATTTAAAGGCACTGCAAAGCAATTAAAAGAAGACATCAACCACAGCAGTTTCCTTTTGAAAGACTGTGATCATGACATGTAAAAACTTCCAGTTTCTGGCTTTCTTTTTTTTTTTTTTTTTTTTTGCCAAAAATGGGGTTCTTAAGCTCCCTTAGCTCTGACAGCTCTAAGTCATATCCCTTCCAGCTTAAGGTGGCAGAATGTAGAGTTCAGTGTTGTCAAAATAGCTGAAACTTTAGGAGAAAAATCCTTGAATTGAGTGCTCTGCAAAATCCACCAAATGTGCCCAAATCTGTGGTTGACAACTAAGCTACCAATGCATGAGTGAGAGAAAAAACAGTAAGGAGGTAAGAGAGAACAGTTTAAGTTGAAAGACAACTAAATCTTATGAGATTTACAAATCTGATGCTCCTCTGAAGGCATGCATTTCCCAATGAGTAGAATCTTGTAATAAAGAAAGTTGAAGTCTTACTGGCTTAACGTGGCAGAGGATAAAACTCAGGGCTGAGAACCACAGAAAGCATGAGCCCCCAAATGTGTGTATAAATTCTGTATAAATATTTGGCTCTCTTATAAGTTTCTAACGGTAAGGGACAGCCCTGTGTGACCAGGTTAAAAAAGCAAAACCTAAAAGCTGTAAAACTGAGCAGAGATACAGAGATACAATCTGTTGCAAAGTATACGGAAGTGAGAATTAATTTAAAATCAGGCAAGTTAACCGTCTATTAAAACAAAAAACCTGAAATCCTCAGGAAAACAGAATGGAATTCAGAATCATTAAAATGCATTTTTTACAATGTGAAGATTTCAATCAAAAATCAGTGAATATGATCCATACTAGGGAAAACACAATGTACAGAAACTCACTCAAAGTAAAATGTATTCAGAGTATTAAAGGAGGGGCACCTGGCTGGTTCAATCAGTAGAGCATGTGATGCTTGATCTGAGGGTCATGAGTTCAAGCCCCATGCTGGGTATGGAGCCTACTTAATTAAAAACAACAACAACAACAACAACAACAACAACAAAGTATTAAAGGATGATATATCAATAAGTGAACAGAAAAGGACTATCAACAGAGAATGAGAAACTATAAAAATGAACCAGATAGAAAATTTAGAGTTTAAAATTATTATTCCTTATATGAGAAATTTATTTGGTGATCACACAAGTAGATTGGAGATGAAGAAAGGAAAAAATAATTGATATACCTTAAGGAAGATCAATAGAAAGTAGGAAATCTGAAGAATATAGAAAAAAAATTAAGAAAATTGAACAGAACATCAGAGACATGGACCAATACACAGCAGTCCAAAACATGCTTAAGTGGAGCCCTAGACTTTGGGAGACAGTAAGAAACAGAAACAATCCTTCAAGAAGTGATGACTAAAAATTTCCTAAATTTGATAAAATATTCAATTACGGATCTGAAAAGCACAGGAAGTGTCTCCTAGGATAAATGCAAAAATCCCAAACCTAAGTACCTCATAGTTAAATCTTAGAAGAGGTAGGGAGAAATGGCATGTGACCTACAGTGGTACAATGATAAAATCAACAAGTGATTTCTCATCAGAAACAATAAAGGCTGGAGGATATGATAATTATATATTGAAAAAGAAACAACTTCATCAAAAATTATAAATGTATAAAACATGTTTAAGAATGGAGGTGAAGGGGGCACCTGGATGGCTCAGTGGGTTAAAGCCTCTGCCTTCAGCTCAGGTCATGATCTCATGATCTCATGCTGGGATCAAGCCCCGGAGCCTGCTTCCCCTCACCCCTCTCTCTCTACCTGCCTCTCTGCCTACTTGCAATCTCTCTGTCAAATAAATAAATAAAATTAAAAAAAAAAAAAAAAGAATAGAGGTGAAATACCATGTTTATATAGGACAGCAGACCTGTACTATATGACACTAAAAGCTAAAGGGAAATTATACAACATCGTAATCTGCACTTACAGGAAGGAATAAAGAACACAAATCACAACAAATATGTGGGAAATTATAACACTGTATGATCTTACAAATATATACTTATGTTCATGGCTGTGTGTATATAGATGTATATACATGGGGGGAATAAATTACTTTGTTTCTTAGAATTTCTTTAAAAGTATAACTGTTTAAAGCAAAACTGACAGAACTAAGCAAAGAAAGACATAAATTCAATTTGGAGATTTAATCGTACATTTCTTAGTAATTGTCAGAATAGCTAAGGAGGAAAATCATCAAGAAAATAGAAAATCTGAATGACCTCATAGACCACCTTGGATAATATACGGTTCCAGAATATATATTTAGTGCATCTAGAATGTACACCAAGATACACCATATGCTATTCCAAAAAACAAGTCCCAATATATTTCAAAATATTAAAATCTTACTTCAGAAACTGAAAATTTAAAAATTCTATTTATGATCAATTCCAAAAACATGAAATATTTTGGAGAAATTTGACAATACATGTGAATGAATTAGCTCCACACTGAAAAGTATAAAATATTCTGAGAATAAGTAAAGAAAACCTAAATAAATGGAGAAGTATATCATGTTTAGGGAATATAAGACTCAAATCTTTCAAAATTCATCTACAGATTTAATGGAATTCCAATGAAAGCCCCGTAAGATTTTTGGAGAAATTGATAAGCTAATTCTGAAATTTACACAGAAATCCAAAGGTCCTAGAATAACCAAACAAATCTGAAAGTGAAAGTCTATTTCAAGACTCAGAATAAAAGCTACAACAATCAAGGCAATGTGAAATTAGCTAAAGGAGAAACATATAGGTCAATAAAAAAGGATACAGAGTCCAGAAATAAACCCACATAACTGATTTTTTTATAAAGGTGGAGAAAAAATTGTCTTTTCAACAAATTGTCCTGGAACAAGTGGATACCCAGATGCAAAAAACAACAAAAACCTCAATCTTACCCTATACTACAAAAAAACAAAAACAAAAAAACCCCAAACAAACAAAAAATCCACAACATTTCTATCTTACCTCATACGAATACTCAAATATTATCTTGAAATCAATCACAAAACTAAATATAAAAGCTGAAAAAATAAAACTATTAGTGATTTCTCATTGCTTTTGAGAGAAAGAACTAAATCCTTTCACACGGTCTACATACTCTGTGTGGTTGCCGCCACACAATGTATGTAAATACAAATATTAGTGTTAAAAGTGGTACAACACTGTCATCTCCCTATAAAAGGACACGATGCTTCTTTTTTTAATTAATTTTTCATTTTTTTATAAACATATAATGTATTATTAGCGCCAGGGGTACAGGTCTGTGAATTGCCAGGTTTACACACTTCATAGCACTCACCATAGCACATACCTTCCCCAATGTCCATAACCCCACCACCCTCTCCCGACCAACACGATGCTTCTTCAACAACTTTTCAGTAAAGAATGAAATAAACCTGTTTAATTAGAAAAATAAAAATAATTATTTATAAAATTAAGGAGAGTATTACATTATTCAGTAAGGGAATGAACTTAGATAAGGTACTTCATAAACCAGAGAGAGACACCTACAGATAATAAAAAAAATACTGAGTGGGGGCACCTGGGTGGTGCAGTTGGTTGAGCATCCAACTCTTGGTTTCAGCTCAGGTTGTGATCTCAGGGTCATGAGATGAGCCCCGTGTCGGCTCTGTGCTCAGCATGGAGCCTGCTTGAGATTCTCTCTCCCTCTCTAATAAATCAATCAATCTTTTTAAAAAGGAAATTAATTATCATTAGTGAAGAGTGACAATAAACTAGACAGCAGAATTTCTCTTTTTCTACCTACATTTTAAATGAGTGAGACCTGTAACTCTTTTCTTATCTACATACAATCCCTAGTGACCTTATCTATACTCATAGCTTAAATTACTATCTCCAGTAGCCATGTTACATCTTAAGTCTGGACCTTTGCATAAATTATTTCACCTTTTTGGCTAGCTAATTCCCTGAAATCCTCCCAGACCCAAAATAGGGAAACT